CAGCAATGGGAGAAGCAACCCAAACATTCGTGAGGTCCGAACTCAGATAGAAACCAAGGCAGGGGAGAACATTGGGGTGGTTAAGCGGCGTCCAAGTTGTGAGCTCGCGAACGAGTGCCTTGTAACCGTTTGGTTAGGTATGCCAGAGTTTTGGTAAGATCCATGTTACGTACGAGGGCGGTTTGAATATCCTTATCCCATTGACCGCTTGTATGGAATCGCTTTACGGCGACATCCACTTTGTTCGAAAATAAGCCTTTCTTCAGAGTCCCCCGATACACGCTTCCGAAAGCTCCAAATCCCAGTTCAGGGTTGCATTTTGAGAATTTGAACCAAGGTTTTTTCAGGAAGAACCGTTTGAGGGACGCGAGGGCTTTTGCCTGGTTGGGTCACGTTCTTAGAGGTGGTCGGATAATCGAATTGGGTTCACGTACCAATTCAGCCTCGGCCAGCTTTACTTCCGAATCGATCTTCGAGTCCATCATGTTCCAAGCGGATTTCGGTGTCAGAGGGGTCAGCGCTAAAAGTGACCGATCGCCGACGTCCACCATTTTCCCACATTCTACTCCGGCTTGAACATTTTGCCCCCAAATGCACCGACTCCGTCTGCGCCTCTTCAAGTCACCGCACCTATGTCGGGTGGCGACTTTATCTACAACAACTCAACCGGGACCTCAGTTTCGCAATCCACGTAACATTTTTCAGCCCCACTCCACCTCGCCACTCGCGGCCAATTCAAACTTGAAGTGCTCACCTCAGGAGGATGCTGCACAGCTGCGCAATGCAGTTCAAAACCGTTCATTACTCGCCATCCATCAAGTATGGCGGAAGCTTAAAGCAGGGGAGGCGTTGCCACACCTAGAAGATAGTGATGTTCGTCAATTGGCGGATGCGCTTGAGAACATTTTGCCTGCCCTGGCCCCGAGTGCAACAACAGATGCAGACTCCGTACGCCATGCAAAGGAACGAGCCCTGGGCGATGCACAAGAGTTAGTGGTTTTTGTCGCATCTCGGGGTCACCTCGCTCCGTTGGATTGGTGCATGCATCACGCTCTCTCCACTGGCGACGAGTCAAGGACTTTGGATCTCTGGTACGCCACGTTGGAGGAGTTTGACGCATTGCCTATACATCTTCGCTCTCCTCACAAAACCGTGGACAATCCTCGACCGGCGAAGTCGCCAGCGGGGTTGACCCAAGACTCCCGACAACGCACCCGGATTTCTCTTTCAGTCCTTTCGGCCCTTGCATTAAGAGGCGATTACCGCAACGCTATTCTCGCCATATCCAACCACAGACTTCTTCTACCCGCGGAAGATGTCCGCAAACGTCTTATCCCACAAATCTTGCCTTCAAGCTGGCCTTCAACATCTTCGGAATCGGTCTTGGAGTTTATCAAAGCTACCGAGATCGTTGCTTCTATGTTGATGAAAGGGCCCAGATCCGAGACGCTTGCAAAGTTTGCAAACGGCAACAACCCAGAGGTACTATACAAGGCCTTTGAGGTCCTTGTTCATGGTACCAAAGGCGATAATCCATGGTGTTCCTTAACCCCGAAATCGGACGTCCCTCCAATTCCAAAAAAGAAAAGCCCAGTCTTCTACATGGCGGATCCTGTATGGAGTAGTATCGCGGCCGAATTCGTTCGCTGTAATCGTGTCGATCTGGCTCAGACCGTTGTCGACACAATGCGCACCTCCGGTCTCGAACCTTCCACCGCGATCCTCAATACCCTCCTTGATGGATACGGCAAGGCTGGCAACATATCCGCTGCAAAAGATGTCTGGGACAAACTTCCGAACCCAGACGTCTACGCCTACACCACGATGATCTCCACCCTATTCCAAAACCACCAAGTAGACGAAGCTCTCTCCCTCTTCCACTCCGCCCAACAAGCATTCTCTGTCCATAACGATTCCTCACCATCCGACCGATCACTTAACATTACCACGTACAACGCAGTCATTCACGGACTGCTTATCAACAACCTCCCCGACCGCGCCGACGATCTCTGTGCCCAGATGCGGACAAACGGTCCCAAACCAGACACAATCACCTACAATACATTCCTACGCTATTTCAGTCGCACAGACAACCGTGAAGCGTTTGTATCGACCCTCCAGACGTTATCGAAGGAGGGTCTACAACCAGACATATACACGTACACAACCATTGTGGACACTCTCCTACAACACTCTCGGCACAACGTCGTTGCTCGTCTCCTCGATATGATGCAATCGTCCAACATTCCCCCGAGTGCCGCGACATATACCGCCATCATCGATTATTTCATCCGAAGACAGGGCGAAACTAGCATCCGTACGGCCCTCGCATTGATCGAAAAGATGGAATCCGAGGGTATCCCAACGAACGAAGTGACATACACCAGCCTTCTCTCTGGAGTAACGCGGGACGCAACCCTCTCCAAGTCCACATCATCCGCTCTCACAAACGAGATCGTATCTCGAATGAAGCAAAAAGGTCTTCAACCCAACCGCGTAACGCACAACTTCCTCATACAAGCCGCTCTCTCCCATCCGTCGCCCACCTCTGAAGTCATGTACCATTGGGAGAGGATCAAACAGCAGGCAGCATTCGTCCCTGCCCAAACCTACTTTATCATCCTGCAGGGACTGCTGAGACGGCGAGAATGGAGCTGTCTGGAAGACGTCTTGGAGCATATGACGAAAGCCGGATTCGAACCTCGCGGCGCGTTGGAGAGGTTGGTCAGGAGGGTCGTCAGGGAACTCCAGTTGAGGGCGTAACCGCATGCTTTCTATTATCGTACAAACTAAGTCTATATTAAGAGGGGTATATCATACTGATGTCGACCGCGACACCTGCGAATGCGTGCTCTCTAGGGTGCAGGGACCTGAACGATCTTCACATCGCGTCCACTTTTAGCCATACTCTTGATCAACCCACTCATCTCGTCGGGTGATTTCTTCCCTTGCTGGGCTATCGGCAGCCAGGCAAGTCAGCGTTGCTTTCGAAACTGGAAGAGCAAAGCTAAAAAACATACAGAGTATAAGAGCCACCGTACCAGCAACATGCGGTGTCGCTTGAGAGGTCCCCGATAGCTGCATGGTAGCTGTGTTCGACCCTATCCATGCGGAAGTAACGTCTACCCCTGGGCCGTACACGTCCACGACATCCCTGTCAACGAAAATCAACAATAGGAACGCCGGTGTGGGTCACACTATATACCCATAGCTGGAGAACCAAGCTCTTGCGTCGTCCTGGTCGCTGGCGCCAACCGTCACCACGTCCTTTACCCGCCCAGGCGAATGTTTGCTTGCATCATCCGAGTCGTTCCCTGCGGCGACAACGACGTGGATACCCGCAGCGACGGCGGCCTTCACAGCTCCATCCAATAATACCGACGCCCCGCCTTTCAAGGATAAGTTGACGACGGTCTTCCCTCCGCCCGACATGTGCTGGGACATGACATATACGAGGCCTTCGATGATAGATGATACGGGTCCCTTGCCGTTCGAATCGAGAACTTTGACAGCGATGAGGTTCACATTGGGAGCAACGCCATATTGTCGTCCGCCAATGGTGGCACTGACGTGAGTGCCGTGACCATTGCCATCAGTATCTCCTCCAGCTGCGATATCGGCACCCGTCAGATACCGCGTCCATCGAAGGAAAGACGACGTACCGATGCTTTTACCTAGCCTCGCGCGTCCACCAAACTCTTCGTGACTAACATTAATACCGGTATCCAACACATAAACATCCACTGCAATCCCGGACTCATCAGCATCCAACATGAAGCTATAATCAGGGACAGGACCTACCGCCTTCCCCTCCTCCACGAGGGACGATGTATTCATACGGCCCTTTGCTCGGTGCGGGGTCTTTATGGCTTACAGTCTATCTCGGCAGGTAAGTTGAATGGAGGCGGTCAAAGAAGGAACGACGCACATATAAGTTCCACCTTGGGTCTTTCGTAGAGGCGCTGGATAGGTCGCTTTGGTCGTCCACTTCTCCGGTCTACAAGTCAGAATCTGTCACATAGATTGCTTGGATTCACAGACCAGTGTCACGCACCGGAGTGGCCGGGTATAATGACACGGTCGGGCTCTGTGCCTTTGGTTTAGTCGCAGCAGGTTTCCTACGACAAAGCAAATTCAGCTTCGGGAGAAACATAATTGGAAGAACAGAAGCTTACTCGCTTAGAGGTGTCAAAGACAAAATCTGATCCTCAGCTACATATTCTACGTCTGGGTGGGCACTCAGTGCCAACGCAGTACTTCCATTGAACGATCCTGCAAAGCCTTTCACCCCCTTTTACACGGTCAAATCAAGGCAACCAAGATACCGCCAGAACGGATACTCACGTTGATCTCGTATATCCTGTCCACTTTCACTCCCACGAAATGCTGCCCAACCCACTGCATCCTTTCCTTGACATCCGTCACCCCGTCTCGAAATTTCACAATATAGCCATCGGGTCTCTTCTCTCCATCCACACTCAGGATTCGGGCGTCACGTCGTAAAAGAGGGGAAGCGTTCACCAAACTTAGCAGAGCGGCATACAAGCAGATTAGGGAAATCGGAGACATTATTTAGGAGCGAGTGGGCGGATGGTTGACGAGAGGGAGACGGACGACTGAAGTCCGTGGGTCCAGTTAAGAGTACAATCCATGGCTCAAGCGAGTGTGTCGCGTTGGAGAGAGCGAAGGCTGTTAAAATTGTCGAGCAGGCACATCCCGGTAACGACGTCCCTGTAACAAAAGGGAGACGTTGTGTGTGTGTCGTTTATAGACGCGTATCAAAAGGGGAGGGGTTAAGCGGCCGTTGCTGTCCACCGCCGGGCCAAGCGAAGACCGTTGAAATCCCACCGGCCTGCGCAGTGTCGGAAACCCGCCAGATCACGTTTCAAAAACAAGAACGTAAACGGAATACTCATGGCTGTAAAAGCGTAAGGGGATGAGACCGATCAAATATCATATCCGGAACAACATACCTCACGAAGGTGGGGCAAAAAGCTAAGCGACGCGGGCATGATTCGAACATGCGCCCGAAAATCGGAACAGATAATCATAGAAGATGGTTCTAATCTGTCGCGTTAACCACTCCGCCACCGCGCCCGATACTGAAGTAGTCTGGGCACTCTCCACCGTCAGGCCCGGTGCCCCAGCTGCCCGGGGGCAAACGTCTAAGCTCCCAGAACACTAGCCCACTTTGCACCCCCAACCTCCTCCAGCGCTCTCACCACCTCTCCCGTCTCCATGTTCATCATCATCAACCTCTCGTACACGCTTTTCCTCTCGGCTGCAGCACCTACCTCGCCCAACACCGCTTTTGAGCTAACCAGTGACTCTAACGCGAACAATAATCTGTCACTGTTCGGTCTAGTCATGGCATTATCGTCACGGAGTTGTTCGAATAGGATGAAACATTGGTGTGCGACCTGTAAGGATGGATATAGTGAGGTGGAGGTTAGATGAGGGATGAACCGCTTACATCTCCCCATTTGACCTCGTTCACACCTCCCCTTCGTACACTCTTGATCAACGCAGCAAGGATAACCCGCTCCACAAACGAACATTCCTTCACAAATACCGCGTTCGGGCTGTTCTGCATGGCTTTTATCACGGCTGTGACTTCCGGCATCTTGACCACCCTTGATTGGCCATTCGGTTTGTAGACGGTCTCTACAGCTCGTCTACACAAACTATTAATAGACGTGAATGGAGGTGGGGTACAGAGACGAACCTTGCAATATCAAGAACACGTCTAGCGTCACCGTTTACAGCGGCAACCCTCGCTGATGCATACTTCACAGCGTCCTCGTGCATTACGTTGAAATCGATATCTAAACCTTCTCGAGAGGCCCGTAAGCGAGAATTCACGATTTCCATCAGTTGATCCCTGCTGTAAGGGTGGAATTGGATCTTTTCCATCCCTTTGTAACGAGTTAGCCTATGCATGCTCTCAAAAGCAGAGGAAACCAACCCAAACGGCTCTTTACTTTCGCGGACATCACCCGTTCAGGTAGGTCGTGCGTATTGGACACCGCGATGACAACGAGTCTAGAGTTGGGTAGATTCGGCCAGTTGAAAAAGTTGTACACCACATCTTGCTTCGCAGTCACCAGCTGGTCGAGTTCGTCCATGAGTACCACACTAAACACAAACGTCAGATTCGGATGTTATCGCCGAAGGATACGTGGGGCGCTTACAATGCACCTCCCGCGGGTCCTGCTCGCCCTCCCGTAAAATAGCGATCCAACTTCTTCAATGCCTCTTTAGCACTAATCTTTAGGTGCCCCTCGGTAGCTGGGTCGTGGCCAGATATAGCCTCCCACAGGACCGCGTAAGCAGCGGAGGGTTCGGGAAGACGCAACCCATTAATTTCGACATATGTAAACGGATTGGTTTCCTATTAACGATATCAATCATAGGTCTTCGTACGAAGAAGGTAACGCACATTGTTCGTGGCCATTTCTTGGAGCTGTCGCACAACAGCGTGCACTGTAGCGGTCTTCCCAGTCCCAGGAACACCAGAGATATCTAGAACGACTCAGTTCATAGCCATGGAGTGAGCAGAACATCACGCACATATGCATCCACCCGTCCCTTCTTCCAACACGCTTAGCACCGAAGCTAGCACATCATCAAATTCTTGGGTTCTCCCAGGCAGGGCATCCGGCCGCGCCGCAACATGCAAGAGATGCATTGCCCTTAGATGGGGATCCTTAGGTAATGACATCAACGCTTCTTGATCTGCTCGGGCCGTCTCATAGGTGCTTGGACGCGATATCCGTAGTTTGCCTTTACGGCGTGCTTTTGTCGTCCAGCGACGCGTAGCCAGAGCAGCTTTGGAACTTGGCGTGGGTAGCGCACGAGTTCCTTTCTGTCGTTTGCGCGTCGGGGTTGCAACAGAAGACGTGACCCGCCTTCTCTTGCGGGCTCGACCTGCACTTTCGTCGTCAGTCTCTAGTTCATCCTCTTCGAGGGGGGATGTCTCTGAGTGGCTCGCGACAGTGTTTGAGTCGTCTTCCTCTGATCCGCTACTCTCGGCATCTTGCATCTGCTCGTATGGGTCGCTGGCTTCCGAATCAGTTTCCGTCTCGCTGTCTGAATATTTGGCGTTAGGACGAAAAGTGTTTGTTTTCTTCGGCGTAGAACGGTTCGGGTGCGAGACGGCCTTTCTATCGGAAGGTCTGCGCGGAATAGCACCTTTGATCTTGACATTCCATATCATCTGGGCTTGGTCAGGCTTTCGAAGAGAAGCTGTTATCGAGGTATTTCGGTGCTTCGGCCAATGGAGTTGGAAATGGAGGCCGTTGACGGCAATAGTATCGCAGAAAAGCTCGTCGGGATCTCCTCGTTTACGGGGGGTGTATTCTTTTAGGGGTGAGCCATCCACGACACATGGTTCTATAATTGACTGGAGTGGCAAAACCGCAGATTGGTCGGGTGTGTAGTAAATTTCACCCTAAAACCCACATCAATACATATGAGAACGTCACCGAGATATAGCGAAACCTCACCACTCGATGCTCTCTGGCTGCTCCGGTTTTTGGCAATTCGCGTGGTTTAAGGAACCAATGAACCTGGAAGAAAGGCGTGGCTTCGTCCCCTGCTCGCTTGCCACGGACATCCCACAGAGCGGTAATTACGCCGACATGGGTCTCTTTGAAGAATCCCCGAACAAAAATCGTGTCTCCGATAGCATATGTCCTGTCGGCAGGTTGAGCTCTGGCTCTGGCTTGAGAACCTTGGTAATGTCGCGTGAAAGCTTTGTAAAAGCGCGTCTCAAACTCGTTTTCGTCATCATCTCCATGCTCCGGGGGATAGTCACTTGATGGACGCGTCGGACGCGTGAAAATAGGGTCGCCATCCCAGAGATCGACGACACCCGCGGACGGTTTTGATGGGGTAGGAATGAATGGTTGGGTCCCGCGAGACCGGCGTGTTGGCGTAGCAATAGACATGGGATAGGAGCTGCTAGATTGAGACGTTAAGGTGTTGGGGATTCGCGGTAGTCGGTAGGCTATGACAGTTCACTTCGCAACGAGTTGTAGCGGAGCTTAAAGGTTCGCTCATGTAAGCAACGCCACAAACGGTGCATGAAAGCACTTGAGACTGTCAATGATTCGGATCCTGTATTCAACATACTGACAGGGCAAATGAGGAAGTTTTCCATCGTAGCCACCGTACATACGCATTGCAATCAGAGTATAGGTGACGCTTAGCGAATTAGAATCATATTGCCTGAGCATGCGCCATTATCTTCGACAACTCTGAAAGGATATGAAACTGGCTTAACTCACGGGACGATATTACATGGAAACATACACTCACGAGGCAGCTGGATATCCTCCCGAATGACAATGGCTTGGATCTGGTTATCCGGATTCGGTGGAATGACTACCACACCCTTGGAATCGGTGGTCCACCCACACCCCGCGATATACGAGTCAAAGGCCGCGCCTATGGAGTTGGTCTCAGAAACACCAAAGAGCAAGAGGACGACACTTCTGCACCTTTGAGGTTCAAGTAGCTCTCGAGCCTGGCCTTCCCTATCCTCGTGAACGCACCCTTGACACATTTCACAACGACTTCTCTTATCGAATCCTGAAAGCCAGCACATTCCGAGATGTAGTTCTTCCTGAGATGGGCAAGGTCGTCCGACTGGTAGACCTCCCAGAAGTAAGGGAATCGGCATGTTCGTAATAATGTATATAGGAATTGCAATTGAGGGAGGAGGACCGGAACCGGGTCGGGTTCTTCAGTCTGGTCCGCGCCCTGTCGAAACAACATCAACAACCTTGCGAGTGGAAGGAACGTCGGGTGCACATTACCGATCTCTCTCCCAGCAAAGCGAGGCAAAGGTTGAAATCGGGGGCAGGAGTAGCAGTAAGGGCTTTGACCAGGATATGAACGATGATGTCCCCGTTGTAGAGGTCGTGGTTAAACTGGTACCTTGACTAGACATCAGCTTTGGCGATTAGGCAATAATGCATACCAACAGTTTAAGTATGGCTAGATTAGCCAAACAATCGTATTCACCCTGTCGAACTTGCTGGTACAGGTAATCCTCAAGAAGCTCGACATTTTGGGGGTTGTAGCGATCTGGACGAGTATCAGTCATGATCCCGGCGAACGTCACATTATGACAATCTTACCGACGCCTTCAACTAGACGATCAATCACGGAGTTCCTTGTGGCAGGCTTGGTCCAGTGTGATGCGGCTGAGGTCGACATAATTGAAATTTGGTCCGAGTAGATTCTAACACTGCCGCGTGACGATCGCCGCCGTGTCACGCAGGCCAACGCGCGCAACGAGCTGCCATGCGTTACATACCTCGCAAATACCTTGACAAGTTATAAGAGGCGTTACAAAACGTCCAGCCCTTCGCAGAAGTTGTTGAATTTGGGCCATGGGGGTATACACGATCACGCTCAAACGGAGCCAATGGTATTGCCTAAATGAACTCCACTCGGACAAGTAGTGATACATGAGAACAGTAGCAGGTCACTTGCCGACTTTGAAATCGGCCTGGGCGAAGCTATCGAGAGCCCGTCGAAAGTCGGTCTCCGTAATAATTGCTGCTGCAGGACGCGAAAGCAAAACGGAAAAGAAACGCTCAGGCGGTAATGGGTCATAGCTAAACCGTGTTTGGGTCAGAAAGGTATAGCAGGGTTCCAACTCGTGAAGTACGTACTACATCTCGCTAAGGCGGATTTGCCACGGTGGAAACCCATATAACTCGAACGGCTTGGGGATAAGAGCTCGCGGGGAGGACGGGTATAAGAGTGGGTGAATGATAAGGAAGTCAGGGGATGAAAAGTCGGCTAAGTGGAGGACATGTCAGGCCAAAGGAGATTGATGAAATCCAGGAGAATACCAACCTTCCAAGATCTGGTCCAGCTGATCAATGTCTACCTGAGGAACAGGGGCAGACTTGTTGGACAAGTGCCGATATGAGAGTTGCTGAGCCGCTCGAGCAATCGCAGGCTTGCTCTGGTCTCTACAAAGGACATTGAGCTGTAACTCGCTTCCAGTATGGCCAGACGCTTGAGAACTTGAGTGAGAAGGCCGCGTTTGGCGTACTGTGTTGGCATTTTCTCTATCTGAG